GGCAGGGAGATGGTGGGGAGGGCGGGTGCGGGGGGAGCCGGGCGGGTCCCGCTCTGGTCCTGGCACTGTTTCTGAAAGAGTTTCTCAAAGTCCCTCGCGAGGACTTTTCCCGCTCTGTCCCTGCGTGGAGCGTGCGTGTGTGTCACGGAGGGTTTTCCGCGTCTCCGTTGCAGGACACGATTCATCAGCTGGAGAACGAGCTTAGAGGAACGAAGTGGGAAATGGCACGTCACTTGAGGGAATACCAGGACCTCCTCAATGTCAAGATGGCCCTGGATATTGAAATTGCTGCATACAGGTACAGTAGGACCATTGCGGACGTGTCCGGAATATTAATAGCGCTGCAGATGCTGCTGGCTTGAGAAGCCTTCCCACAGATAAGAAATAACTGTATGCAGTGAACACAAGTTAAATTAGAGCTTGACTACATTATTACAACCACTTCAAACTCTACACAGACCATGGAGCATTGGCAGTGAGACCCCAGAGTTCGCTAGGGAGCAGCTCTCCGGTAATCGGTGGGAAAGCTCCCGGGGAGCTCAGTGGGCACAGGACAGCGTGACTCAGTGCAGTGGCACCCTGGTGCCGCATTCTGCCCTTGTTTACCAAAGCGGAAGATGCAGCAAAAGACAAATTTATTTTTAATTCCTGTTTACTTTGCTTTGCATATGCCAGGCAAGCGGTGCTTGTCACTTGAATTCCCTTTTATCGCTCAAGAGAGACAGTGCACTTGCTTGATCATGGTTTCAAGCAGGGCATGCTAATCTGCTTGTCACAAACACTTTTGCTTTTCTTGCTCAACTTTCCTTTAAAGGCATCCACTCTAATCTGGAGCAGGAACATTGCTTGCTATTGCCATCACCTGGCAGGTTTTTTTAGTCTCCTTTGCATCACTCCAGAACTCTCATCAGAGAACTGCTGATTTTTTTGGGTCACAGGCTTAGATGAAAAACATGCATTTGAATAGAAGAAAAGTAAAAAATCATCTCCAGAGCTGCTTAAATTCCTGAGGTTGTTCAGACAAACACAAGATACCTTAGGGTCTGTGCCTGTTCGCTGCCAAAGTTAGCTGAACAAAAGTCTCCTCAGTTTTCATAGCCACACAAGAAAGGTCGTTGCCCAAATTATTGAACTAGGACATACACTCTAATTGGCTTTGAGCGTCTCAGCCACCATATTTAATTTGTCTGTTGGCTGTGTCAAATTCTCAGTTCGCCTAGGTCACAACGTGTCATTTTGCCATACTCTGTGTTGACTTACGCCATGATGGAAGTCTTTGGCATTAAGGATGAATTTCAACTGATCGACCAAAGGTGTTGCGCTTGCCACATGCACCAAGCTAAAAGCTGTTTGCTGAATGTGAATTTAGCAAAAGAGCTGATTCGAGGAAAGCCAAACTGGGGCTGTGAGCGATGGATTATGCTGATCAGCCCTAGCGTATTCCACACACAAACTGGTTTTATCCTGCTGACAGGGAAACACTATAGTAGCTGTCCCTTACGTGAGGTTTCTATACTAATTTTTTTTAATCTCCTCCTTACTCCCTTAGGAAGCTACTGGAGGGCGAAGAGACAAGATTCAGTGCCTTCTCTGGAAGCATTACTGGACCCATATTCACGCACAGACAACCATCTGTCACAATAGCATCCACCAAAATTCAGAAAACAAAAATCGAACCACCAAAGCTGAAGGTCCAGCACAAGTTTGTAGAAGAAATCATTGAAGAGACAAAGGTAGAGGATGAAAAGTCTGAAATGGAAGATGCCCTAGCAGCCATTGCAGAAGAAATGGCAGCCAAGGCCCAACAAGAAGAACAGGAGGAAGAAAAAGCAGAAGAAGCAGCTGTAGAGGAAGAAGTTGTTTCTGAGAAGGCTGCTGCAGAACAAGCAGCTGCACCTGAGGAAGAAGAGAAGGAGGAAGAAGCAGAGGAGGAAGAAGAAGCTGCAAAATCTGATGCAGCAGAGGAAGGAGGTTCTGAAAAAGAAGAAATAGAGGAGAAGGAAGAAGGGGAGGAGGCTGAGGAAGAGGGGGAAGAAGCTGAGGCCAAGGGCAAGGCTGAAGAGGTAGCAGCAAAAGTGGAGAAGGTCAAAACACCTCCCTCAAAGTCACCCCCCAAGTCACCCCCTAAATCCCCCCCTAAATCCCCTGTAACGGAGCCGGCCAAGGCGGTCCAGAAAGAAACGGCTGCAGAAGCAGGAAAAGAACAGAAGGTGGAGAAAGGTGTTGAGAAACCAGCCAAGGAGGAAGAGAAAGCAGCATCTCCGGAGAAGCCAGCAACACCAAAGGTAGCCTCTCCGGAGAAGCCAGCAACCCCAGAGAAGCCAGCCACGCCGGAGAAGCCTGCAACCCCAGAGAAAGCCGTGACCCCAGAGAAGCCGGTGACGCCGGAGAAGCCCCGTTCTCCTGAAAAGCCGTCGACCCCAGAAAAGCCCCGCTCTCCAGAAAAGCCAGTGACTCCAGAGAAGCCCCGTTCTCCAGAGAAGCCGGCCTCCCCGGTCAAAGATGAAAAGGCTGTGGTGGAGGAGACCATCACTGTCACAAAGGTAACAAAAGTTAGTGCAGAGGTAGAGAAGGAGTCCAGGAAAGAAGACATTGCAGTGAATGGTGAGGTGGAGGAGAAAAAGGGAGAGAAGGAGGTTGAGGAGGAAGACAAGGGAGTTGTCACCAATGGCCTAGATGTGAGCCCAATTGATGATAAGGGTGAGAAAATTGTAGTAACCAAAAAAGCAGAGAAAATCACTGAAGGTGGGGACAGTACAACCACATATATCACAAAGTCAGTGACAGTCACTCAGAAGGTAGAGGAACATGAAGAAAGCTTTGAGGAGAAATTAGTGTCCACCAAGAAAGTGGAGAAAGTTACTTCACATGCTGTAGTAAAAGAGATTAAAGAGACCGAATAAAATAAACCATAGCTAAATTAAAAAAATTAAAGAGCTTGGGTTGGTGCAAAAGGTTAAGCCATATGACAGCTGCAAAATGCATGTGAGTGACGGCTTCAAAGCAGAACGGGTTCTCTCATGGAGGCTCCAGACACACAGTATTTTACTTTTTTGTGCAATATAGGGAAGGGGGGGGGAATGCATGCAGGCTCAAGATGTACTCCCTCCACAGAGCTTGGGGATCTAAAAAAATAATACTAATAATAGTGCATGAGATGAAATGTGCAAAGGAAGCTTTTGAATTTCCTGAGCTGTTGGAGGGACATATCTGAGGAACGACTTAAGATGTATTATGCAAAGAACCAACTGAGCCAAAACCAAACAGAAAACAGTAATAGAATATTCATGAGAACCAGAACTCTCCTAGCCTTAAAAAAAGCTACTTATAAATAATTATGTTTACCTCACTGGTGCAATTAGGGTGGACTTTTGCTCATGGGAGAACCTAGTTGACATGCACAGTATGCAACCTTTTGTTGTTTGATGTAAAACAGTCACAGCAGTTCTTGCTCAATAAAGGTCAATACTGAAAACATGACTTGTCTGGCGACTTTTTTTCCAACTCTGATCCTTCCATGAAGTTTGCTACTCTGTCCTGAACAGGAACACAATTGCGTGAGTTGAAAAGTTGCTTGAGCTTTTCCTTGGTGTCCTCATTTAGAAAACAAGTTTGAATTGGATATGTTAAACAAATTTCCTGTAATGCAACACAAATACTTGAGCTGGCTTAAGCAAACACTTAGGAGCTGTATCGCACACTCTCTCAAATGAAGAGGAATCTATTGAATTCTGCTGCCTGGCCTTTAGGTACTTAGAGGGGTTGCAATTGCTTTTGCTAGCAATGGGAAGGTCCCTAAGCCATGTGCTGCCAGAGTCACTTGTCTGAGCAACCCTGCTGGTACGACGTGTTAAACTCTGCTGTAAGTGTAATTTTCTTCCCTGCACATGGCTCTCAACATGTAAGGAGAGCCTTAAAGATGTGGCAATTTCCAGATCGTTCCTTGATCTTCCTGGGCAGACAGCCTGTCTATGAGCTACAGCTGGCCATGGTATCTCCCATGACACTCATTTGTCACTTAAGTGTGCAAAGACTCAGTAAGTAATCTCAACCAGGACACCCTCTGTTCGTCAAAATGGGGTAGCTTCTGATTATTTTTTTTCCCCTTCTTCCTCAATTATATGGGAACATCTTTATCAATTCTCTGTCTCAAATGACGAACAGGTACAATCTGCCTCCAAACCCAAAACTCAAATATTGAGAGTAAATAAATTCCTGGAAAAGGGAAATGGTCCCAGAGATGATACTGGTATCATGTATCAAAAACATTCCTAATGCATTTTTTACGTATTTGTCCATCTGAAATGAGCTGAAAATAGTAGAAACGGGATCCTTCCAGAGTCTGAAATGAGGCTGGGCAGGGCTCAGATTACACCCGGTACGACTGACAGATAAAACCAAATGACAGCATTTTAAAATTTCCAATACAAAGGCCTCCTAAGCGTTGGCCTATGTCTATTGCCACTGCCAGGCTGGCTCTGTTAAGAATAAAGCCAGCTAAAGGGCCCTCTAAAATCCAACTACATAAGAAATAAACGGAGACAAATGAAACAAAGGGAGAAAGAGGAGGGTCCAAACTCCAATTTGGGGTTTATTATGGGATTAATATAGTGTTTATTTCTATCATGTTTCAAAAGGAAAATGGAGAGCACTGCTACTGCCTTACCTCCCATAACTAGCAAAGAAATGCAAATACTTTTTAAGCCTGGGTTCAGCACGTGGAATGTCCTGAAATCTGGTGACTTACTGAGAGTCTGATCAAAATCTATGATTTGCATATGCCTTCCAATTCTTTACCCTATCAATAATTGAAGATCAAGTAGTTTTTAATTGAAAGGGTTCTGCACGTTCTTCACTGGAGAGATTGTAAAAAGTCCACAGCAGATAAGCCTTTCAAATGAATGTGAATGTCTTTGTGTAGCAAAGTAATGAATGTTTCTCCTGCTGATATCAATAATGGAAATCTGTGCTCAACAGCTTGCTGTTTGAGTGACGTTTAATTAAAGTGGAGTTAGCAAATGAAATGGCAGCTTCTCTGTAGTGAGCTTATTTGTGAAAGCTACATGTGAATGTCACATAAAAATGACTACAACTGTATGAATAAGAAGTTAAGTAGCCCAGTCACACCCACCTATTGTCAGTGTTTGCATCAAGTTCTGTTAAAATATAGAAACGCCCAGTGGTTTGTGAGCATTGAAGCTCTTGGGTCTAATCAAATTTTTCAAGAGAACACTACTGCTAAACCAAAAACTAAACCAGAGACCAATACTTAACATAAAACTTTCTGTTTACATGCTTCCAAACAAGTTCTAGAATCTGCTACAATGCCACAAACTGCAAAGCCAGTGGGCTACCACCCTCAGCACAGAAAGTCAGGCATCTTCAGCATCAAGACGAAGAAGGGTCACCTTGTACAGCCAGTGGGAGACTCAACAACACTGTTGACGTGGCTCACACGGGTGCAGGAGGGATCTCAAAGTGGCTTGCTGTTTTTCTTGTTACACTTTCTTTTCAGTTCTGGTAGGATAGAGCTACAAGGACCAAGAGATTATTATCTGTGTTGTTTTGATTCTGCTTGCACGTTGGCAGTCCAGCCAGGATTGCAGTTTCTTGTACGAGGGGGCTGTGTCAACACTTCTGCCTGGGGTACATCGACTCTCCCGAAGGGTTTCGGCAATGCACTGCATAGCCTGCGTGGGAGGCAAGCTCCTGGGCTACCCACAGATACGGTGTACGTCAAAATATTCTCATTCCCTCCCCCCCTTTCCACCCAAAACATATTGCAGCCTTTAATTATTACCCACAACTGTATTTTTTTTCTCTGCTCTAACACACAAAATAAATTTGTGAGTTTAGTCTATTTCCCACTGCAAATGTTTCCTTCAAATCCTAAGAGAAATAAGCAACTGGTTAACATATTTCTAAATATTTATAAAACTGTAAGAACTGATTAACATTTAATGTTGCCAAGAGGTTTTGTCTACTGACATCTGCAATCAAACACTTTCAAAAGATAGCATAATTCCAGGGCAGAGATGCATAAACAGTACGTTATTCGCCCGTTCTGCACCAATTACTTCTTCAGACTGTGCATAACCAGTGAAGGGATTAATTACTTTCAGACACAGAAGTTCAGTTATCAATACAAAAGACTCCATGAAAGGAAAAACAATAATTAAAGGAAGTTGCTGGGAAGATTTATGCATCTTATTTAAGGTGGGCTATCAGGACCCCTGTGACTTCAGGAGCTGGAGGGCTCTTAAATCTTTTTACTGTAGCGGCTTGTGGAGATACTACAACTAACAGATTTTCAGCATCGCAGAACTAAATTCCAGGTGGAAACAAACTGGGAAGCATTACAAAACACAAATAGGTTGCATTTGCCAGGGAGCTGAGTCACGCACTAGAATTTTCTCCAGGCATCAGGGTCCGTGCTTTTCCCATTCACACGCGGGCTTTCTTCCTTCTCTGTTCAGGATCAAACTACCCTTAACTAATCTAGGAAGGCAGCAAATGATGAATTTTAAATTATTTAGTTACTAGAAGGTAATTTCCTAGAATCTGTGTATTATACCCGTACAAGTTTTCCTCTTGCTGAGTGGAAGGGGAGTGTATGTGTATCTCAAGAAAAGCTCTCAGGACCTCCTTGTGTTTGTCTTCCCTGGGATGAGATCTCAGCCTGATCCAGGCCCCATTTGCCCAAACAGCAAGAGAAAATTCAGGGACAGACTCGTGGCTTTACTTGCAGCTGCAACTTGGGTTAAAGTTTCTATCGTGTCTCCCTCTGCCAGCTTTTACTGCATTGCGTCAAAGCGAGCTCCTGGGTTTTCAAAGGTAAAACAAGGGTTGCCCGTAGGATCCCCATAACCCTGGGCACATCTTGGCACGCAAACGCATATTCCACCCTCCCTCCCACCAATTTACCTTAGCAGCAAGGCAGGACTGGGGGTGACAAACCCGGCTGGACGGTCACTGCAGCTTGTCACTCTCTGCAGCTCATTGCCATGGCTGTGACTCACACATTTCCTGCAGAGTCATGAAATCTCTCCTCTAGCTGCAATACATTAAAAATAACATAAGGAGTGGGGGTCGGACTGAGATACACTGTGAGGAGGAGTGTGTTTGCTGGTTTATCTCTAAATGTGCTGGTTTGAGAGCATCCCCAGCAGCCTGGCTACAACACTGTGCAGAGCTGCAAGCTGTATCGTTTCCCAGAAGTAAAAAGGATGCAAAGGACTGAATAAAGAAGGAGTTTCTCTGCAAAAAGACATGAAAGAGGAAGCAAAATCAGGTATTGAAAAGTTAAAGAGAAGTCCAGAGTGCTTGGAGAAAGGCAAGATGGGGCAGTGGTTTTAATATATGCCAATCCATTCAGCAGTGCCTTGGCTTTAATGCGCGTGATGAGCTCTGATCTGGTGCATAACGTGGTTTTTGCTCCACAGCGGCAGAACCTCTCTCCCAACTGAAGTGCCATGCTAACCGCTTTCTGACAGGGCACTTAATCGAATTTCCGAGGACCATCTCTTAAACTCAATATTCTGCTGTTTGAACCAAGAGTATCACATACCAGAAGGAGCAGGTCTCCTGCAATCCCATCAATAGCTTTGAAAAGCACTGAGCAAACCTTGGTTGAGTCTCTAGCCCATGGTACTGCAAGTACATACCCCCCACCACCGCTTTCCTGGAGACAGAAAATAAAACCTACTTTGAAAAAATGAGTCTGCATAAACACAGGTAGAAAAATCTCCATTGAAAGCAGAAGGGAAGTGTGAAAAGACTTAAAAAAGATGTTGTTGAAGAAAGGGAATGTTAATTTACTTGTCTTCTGGTTCTCCAAAGCATCAAAAATCCCAAGAAAGTAGCAGGGTGGGGACAACAACCAACTAAGCATTTGGAAATGGTACTGGAACTCCCTGAACAGGAGTTACTGGAATTATTACATACATGTACATGCTCTGCTTGCTGAATGGTTTTACCAAAGCTTTTTCTCTCTCCAGCTGTTTTTCCTGGGAAGATGGAAGGAAAGAATTGTTTGAAGTGCTTACCTCATCCATCTGATCCAACTGACACCATGAAGTCAGTGTACAAAATCAGGTTACCCCAAAAACCTATTCAAAAATCCATCTAGCTACACGTCACCATTAAAAGTTTCAGTGCAGCCATGTCATGTCTATTCTAACATGGGTTTCCACGGGTTTATTTTAAATGGTTTAAATTGCAGCATCAGCCTAGTACTCACCCATAGCACAAGGTTTAATTGTGTGCATCAAATACGTGAAAATAGGCTCAGCATTGACGTTGCTTTCAGAATTACCAGACTTGGCTGCTGTTTGAGCTGTTCCTAGTTTGTGCCTGGTCACAGATCAGGCCTTTCTTTAGCTCAGGCTCAAAACTTTAAAAGGCCCTGACAAACTCTCAGAAGAAAATGAGCCTCTTCAGCCCACAGTGGATCGACGCAAGACAGCACACGGGGAAGG